TAGATTTCTCTTTTTCTCCCTCAGAACTATCATCAAGCACCTAATAGGAAAGAAAAAAGATTAAAATTTAAGCCAGACGTAACACAAAAAGGAACAGAAAATTCAAGATAAAATGAAACTAGTAAGTTTACCTCATCACGAGGTATGATCTTTATGCCAGAAAACATGTTAGCAGTATGTGCAGAAGGTCCAGGTGACTTCTTCCCGTTGTAGAATCAACAAGAGGCTTCAAAAGCAGAGGGAAGCAAACTTCAAGACTAGACAAATAAGGAAACATGGCAGAATAAATTAGGTTATCTTATAAACAAAACAAGATTTGGAGATCATCAAAACCCCAATAGGCTAAGAGAAAGATGCAGGAGAAAGACAGACGATGTGTCAGCTAAGTGTACAACAGACCCAAGAAAGCCCGGCTAAAAAAAAAAAGAAGAGAACACACATAATCGACCTAGCAAACCTAATCCAAGAAAAAACTTGTGTTCTCCAATCTTGTAAGCCGGAAGCTAGCTTGCTTATACTCTACAAACAGTATTAACAATTCTGATCAGTCAGATTGAATGACATAAACGAATCTGGGAAAGATATGAGTAGACCATAGATTACTAGAAACTGAGCTAAGCTCGAAGGTCACTCACTAGCTAGATGTGCAACGAGGATTGAACCAATTTTGATCCTTCAGATTCTGGACCCAACTGAGTAAGCGATCTTAAGCAAATCAAATTTAGTCTCAAAATTTGAGCAATTGCTAATATTGACAAACGTTACAACTCCCTCTTCGTAATTCTTAGAAAACCAATGTCTATACGATTCAAAGCAACACAACTAGCAATATACTGCAGTTCGATTGAAACCAAATTGGAGAGTTTAATAAGAGAGTCTCAAAGTGGAGGGGGAGAGAGGGAGAGCGTAATCAAAGAAGAGCAAACTCAACCCAAATATCTTCGTTTAAAGAAGTAATTCAGGAGACATACCGGAATAAGACAGCTACGGCGGCGACGGAAAGTCTCTGTTCGATCTTCTGTTGGCTGATTTAGGGCTCCAAAAGAAAAGAAAAGAAAAGAAAAAATTCCTTTCTCTTGTTTTCTTAACCCGCCGTATATATATAATGATGAAATAGGAAAAAATCAGCAGCAAACGACGAACCGGGTCTTAAAACCGGGAAAAATGACGAACCGGTATTCGGACAGAACCGGTCCATCAACCCCCTGAGATGAGATGAGATAATAAATGGATCCTTGTTCGCATCGCACTTTCTCTTCCTCTCTCCTCCTACCCAGAAATCGTCTTCTCTCATCTAATCTCGTTAGGATCGATCCGTTTGGAGATTCTTGCAAATCGGCGTCCTTCAGTTTCCGCATCCGGACGGTGAATCGTTTCCAGATTCTCAAGTTTCTTAGCAGAAATGGACGCTGATTCCAAGAGATTCTTGTCTACGCTTCGATCCCGATCTGGTGAGCTTACCTTGATAAATTAACCTCATTTCCTTTCTGGGACTTTGCTTGTTTACCTGTGAGATTTGGTCAGTATGTAATTGTAGTGGTTCTGAAGTTGCTATATCAACTTTATTAGAGCTTGTAAGTTTTGGGATATTTGATCCTTACTTTTTAATTTGATCTCTAAGGGCTCAAGAAGGGCATATATACAATTTTTTTGTTTTTTTTTCACATAGCTTTGATGAAATATCATGCTTTCTTGATTGTGCAAAGCTCAAGACTTTTTCCAAATGTTTTTGTTAGCTATGCAAGTGAGAAAACAGTTAGATTCATGTTTAAGTTGTTTTCCCTTCTTTCTAGTTGATTCTGACTCTAGTTTGAGCTATAGAAGGGGACCTCGTGAACATGTATGGAGCTCTAATTTTTCTTTTTACTTTCATGTTCTTGTTCCCTGGCTAGATGAAAATGATATGCCTTTACCAATACCATGCTCGTAATCTTTATGATTTTCTCCTCTCAAATATGCAGAAATTTTAATGGGCTTTGAAGAAATAGATGGAGATGATGATTTCCAGGAGGAGTTTGCTTGCCCGTTCTGTGCTGAATCGTATGATATCATTGGCTTGTGCTGTCACATAGATGATGAACATACTTTAGAGTCAAAGAACGCGGTACTGCTCCTGCTCCCTCTCTCTATATGTATTTTGCTGTGATGCAATACTTTTACACTGACATTGGTTTTAACTATCAAATCAACTTGGAACTCAAAAGTTTATGAGTACTGTGTACATTAGATCTTAAGATGAGGAAATTTGTTATTTTGCAGGTGTGCCCTGTTTGTTCTCTAAAAGTTGGAGTTGATATCGTAGCTCACATAACGCTCCACCATGGGAATTTATTTAAGATATCCTTTTTTCATTGTCTACAGTTACATGTTTTCTTTTGTTGAATCACATTGCTCTGTTGAATTCCTTAATGAGTTCCTACTTGCAGCGAAAGAGGAAGTCACGGAAAAGTGGTTCGAATTCAACGCTTTCTCTTCTTCGGAAAGAGCTAAGAGAAGGAGATCTACAGAGGTTGTTAGGACTTCCTTCTCGTAATAGTTCTGCTGCATCAAGTGGAATTCCAGATCCTCTTCTGTCGTCATTTATCTCACCAACACGATCACATGTATATCCTGCGACACACCAAACCAGAAAAGTACCCGAGGACAAACAGATGGAGCGGTATAGTTTCTATATTAGCTTCTTTATTAGATTTTAGAGTTTAAAGGTTTAGTCTTTGAAAAGCGTTGAATTTGTTCAGCAAGAGACAAGTGTGCATCCCACCCGTCTCCTCAAAAGATCGGGAAGAGAAGACGAAGAGATCAGAGTTTGTTCAGAGTTTGTTATGTGTTCAATTGTTCATGTTTTATGTCTCTATAATGCTTCGACTTGACTGGATTCTGTTTCTTTGTTCAATTCAGGGGGAAAAACAATGGAGGATTTGATAAGTCAATTACCAGATGTGTTACTGCAACNNATACTTTTGAATGTTTCCACAAGAGATTCTGTGAGGACTAGTGTCTTATCAAGTAGATGGAGAAATCTTTGGAAAGGTGTTCCTGGATTGCACTTAATAGGTGATGTGTACACAAATCTTCATGTCATTGATTTTCTCGAAAATTCCTAAATCTGCATAAGGAATTACCTATCCACCACTTCACTTTGATGTATAAGGACAAGGATCTTAACGATGTTCATGGATCCTCATTGAAATGGTTGATTGGCAAAGTCAATACCCGCGGAGTTCAATGTTTCGCGATTGACGGTTCTGTGTATAAAAGTGCGGGTCTTGGTATGATTTATTTGCCTGTAAGCTTGTGTAAGTGTGAGACATTGGTACACTTGTGGTTGGAATATGTGCAGTTGAATGATTCAGAGTTTTTCTATGTANCTCGCCTTGAGACTATGCAATTACAGTGTTTTTTTCTATAGTGATGTGGTTCTAGAGATGCTTATCTTGTGCTCCCCAGTTCTCCAAGTCTTGAGCATTCACGATACTCCATTGGGACATTTGACATTGGGACAGGTTATGGATTCAAATTTACACCATTCTTTGATCCGATCGCCTTATTTTATTTATATAAGCTTAGATTTCTTTGAGATTTTTCGGGTTAGTCGTAGTCCTCTTTTCATAATTCTTCTTTGTAGTAGCTCCCAAAAACCAAATCTTCTTTTCAGGAAAATCGTATAAAAAACCTTCAAGGTGGCTAGTACTTACATTTTAAACCTCCAAGGTATTCTACTATCAATTTAAACTTCCAATATAGCAATATTGACACTTTTAACCTCCAAAGTGGTATTTGTATACGCGCCTTCAAAATTTTTAACGGAACTGTTTATTGTCCGTTTAAAAATGATGATGTGGCTTTTTTATTTATAGT